TACAACCATTAAATTTTGGTATTAGCATATAAGTAAAAGTTGTGAACTAGCTTTTTTATATATAAAAATTGTGAAAATGCAGTGTGCCGATCTCTTAATTAAAGCAATTCCCGCAAAATTAAGTGACAAAATCTTGTGTAACTTTGAATTAAGAAATCTTACGCATCATGTTTTTTGAGTTTTTACAATTGGCATAAAATTTTAGTGACATATCCTGTGACCGATAATAAGTCCATACAAAATCGGATCCCAGCATTCTTCGGGGTCCTATAAATATAAATATTTTATTTTCGTCTTGATAAATGATCATATTGTTCAATACTCTAATCAAAATCGCAGCTGAAAATTCGGTTAAACCCAGTGTTAAATTATTGGTCCAACCATATTTGAGAGCCGCTGGTCTTAAAAAGCCAATCCAAGAACCGGTCTGACCGGTTCAGTCATAAAGACCGGTCTTTTTGACCGATCCAACCCTAGATCTACATGTCGATCAATGTTGATCATTCCCATATTTTTCTTTTACAGTAATAAACAAACTTTTAACTAGTTATGATGATTTCTCTCTTTATCATGATTTATGTTGCTTGAATTGGAATTGTTCCAGATCATTTGTTTCAAATTTAAAAAAAGCATTTGATTGAGACAGCCTCTATAAGTTTGATTTTATTTAACGTAAGATTGAAACTAAAAGTTAGTTAATTAGAGTTATAAAGCTGAATTTTAACTTTCTAATAAAAAATTTTTTTATTAGATTTGGTTCATTAGTGTGATTTTTGGTAGGGAGTATAATGTACATACATACAAGTTACTTATGCTAATTAATAAATAAATAAGGGAATATAATTATCAACGCTCATTAACCTTAAACTGATCCTTGTGACCCTAAGTTGTGATAAATAGAGATTTCATATGCAAAATCCCCCGTCTAAGACAAAATATCATCAATCACGATATTTTTCAAAGAATTCATGATGAAAATTTTGTAATCTATCACAAAATCCATCAAATAATCCTTCGGGCGGTAAAAATGTACTTCTAAAATGCCATGTTCCATCTTTTTGACCAAATCCACTGCCAGGCACAACGCATACACCTGTCGCGTTAAGCATAGCTAAACAATAAGATTCGTCAGGTTGTCTGCCTGCTTGACGAGCAGCTTCAATTGCTTTTTGTGGTAGGCGAATTCGAGGGAAAAGATACATTGATCCCTTTAAAAGAAAAAAATCGTTAATTAAAATGGATTTGTATAAATGTGAGTTATTCTTGATTTCGTTCTCCTCACCTGAGCATTATTACACGTGACGCCCTCTAATTGGTTGAAACATTCACTTAATTTTATGCTTCTTCTTCGTAAGCTTTCATAAATTTTACTTAATTCTTTTTGGTATAACGCATAACTCTCGTCTTCACATTTTGGTGGTTGAACCATTAAATCTACCATGATTTGTCCTTGAATATTTGGACAAAGACTAACTGATGCAATTTTATAAAGTTCGTTAACAACGTGAGAATCAATACCCGTACATTCATAATATCCTCCTCTTCTACCGCATTCTCCTATCATGCCTTTGGAAACTGAATGAAAAGAAAATAACTCAAATTGATCATATTTTTTTCCCATTGATCTAAGGACTTTTTTAAAAGAATGAAATGGACGTTCAGCAGGCAGATAGATATTTGTTTGATAAACTTCATCAGCCAATAAAATAATCCGTTCATTATGACAAAAATCTATAATTTCACGCATATTTTGTTCTGTTAAGCATTGGCCAGTGGGATTACCAGGGTTAATTATAACGAGCGCACGAATATCTAACCCTTTCGAACGACCTGCGGAGAGCGAAGAAGTTAATTGACTTATATCTAATCCCCAATCTTTCTCTTCATCCAAATAGTATGGTACTGGCTGTGCATCATAAAGCGCCAAGGTAGCAGTATAAAGAGGGTATTGTGGTATAGGTATCATGATACCAACGTTTGAATGTGCAATTATAAGTTGAAGTACATTTTGAACACCTGCCGAAGCACCTTGAGTAAGGAAGATGTTACTTTGCTCGGCTGGATATCCATCGCGTTCTAAATAAAGAAGTTAATATCGAAAATTTTCTAAAACGAAATTTATAAGAAATTACCAACCTTCGATGAATTTGGCAACATTATTTCTTATACAAGGAATTCCCTGAGAGTGAGAATATGCTCCAATACTTCCGATTTTTTCAAGTAACATTTGTGCACGTTCAATAGCATCTTTGGGATACAATGATTCGATTTGCTTACGATTTTCGGGCGATAAAAGATCTGGATATTCAACTAAGGAAGCGATCTATTCAAAAAATAAAGTATATAAAAAAGTTTGAAATCGATTTATTTTCATAAATAAATAATAACTTACTTGACGGAAGAAAGTTATGGGTTTTTGTTTAAGTTGTTGTGGATTTCCAATGTTACAATTCACAACAGTATCAAAACGATAATTGTGTGAATATCCGTTAGACAATTCATCTTTGATTCTTTCGGCAGAAATTGCCAATTCACCACGAACAGCGTATTCTACCCTCTTTACGTGAGAATTAATAGTTTCGTAAGTAAGAATTTTTGAAGGTTTAGACGCTAAGCAATTTTAAGCGGTGATAAAGAAAATTAATTTGAAAGAAAAGTGAGCAACTTTTTTCGGTCATAATTAGAAACTAACCTGGAGAAGCTTGCTGAGCAAAGTTGGAAACAGACATGTTAAATTTTTTTGTATGAATTCGTGAGTATTGATTTATTGAAAAAGTTGTCGACCTTCGATAACAAGCTTGGGCAACAGAGAAATAGGTAGGTTTATATATTTTTTGCAGCATCATAAATCAAAATGTATGAGTAAAGTTTCGAACCCTTTTTTGACTGAGAAGATAATCTACAATAAGAAATGATCATCGAACTAAAACGCGCTCTTTTTTTTTTCGTCCATATTAGGAATTATTTACATATCTTAGTTCATATCTTTAAAAAATCATCCGATACAAAGATGGCATGATTAAAAAATTTTTTAATGCTAACCAGCAATAGATAGCATACCAGACATTTGCATGATTGGCTGTTACACAGAAATGTGTAACGTAACTATTTATATAGTTTAAAGTAGTATATCGGCGTCGGATTTTTTGATAATCGTTTAATGTAACAGTCAGTGTGCATGTCTCCTGATAGTCTTGTGAAACATATTTTATTAAGAGATCTGCAAGCTGCATATTATAGTAAAATATATGAAAACATATAGAAAGCCGCAAAATTCATCAACTTTCCGATAATATGTAACAAAATATTACATCATATTATGTGAAATAAAGTTGTTGGGCTTATAATTTGAAGCATGTTAATGCTATTTTCGTTCGTTTGGACTTAATAGTTTTTCTCATTTAAAAGAATCTCTGTGTTAAAGTTGGCCTAAATTTCTTATTATTGATATGGAATTTTATATAATGGACGAAGAAAAAAGCCCTTTATATTTTAGAAGTCAAAATATATATTCAGAAAACTCTGAAGACGACTTTAAAGAAGACCCTGACAAAGAATCTAACACAATTAACAAACTTTCTGAATTAGAAATATTTGAATTTAATGAAAATAATTATATTAATACGTGAAGGGTACTTGAACAAGAAGGTGTAAACTATTTAAGTGATGAAGATGATAAAGATTTTGATGCATATAAATCAGATTATGAAAACCAAGAAGTTCCTCTACCTCCATCATTACCTGTTGAAGAAACAAATGACCCTGTATGTAAACTTAATCCTACTATACGTACAAATTTTTCGCTGTGTATTTTAGTTGATTACATAGATGATAAATTGCATACTTGTGGTCAAACTGCAAATGTTAGAAACATATGTCAGTTAGTTGAAACCTGGCAAATAGATGAAAATGCAATATTAGAGTATTAATCAAAAGGAATACCGTTGGGTGTGTGTATGAAATATTTTAATTATTATCAAAAAAATCATAATGCATATACAAAACAATTGTGAAATCCTGATCAAAGTGAAATTAGCCACTGATGTTGCTTATTATATTTCAAAAATGTTCATATTTTTAGTTATAGAGTTGGATGTAAAGATCATTTATAAAAAATATAGGAAAAAAACCATTCAAAACATTCAAATTTCATGTATTGACCTTTATACATACAATGCAATACATGAATTCCAAGGTATTTCCCAACGAATTTTTGATGATGTCTCAACAATTCGATATATTTGTTATAAATACTATGAATCTTATGGTGGGCATTTGAATTGTTGATCTGGTTCTGGCAATTGAAAAATCACTTGTGAACAATGTGGATAATATAAAGAAGATATATCTAAAAGCTTAAAATTATTGGCTCAATGGCTTATATATGTAGCAAATACTGAAACAGAAGAAAATAAGGAAATAATTCTTTCTTTGATGTTGGTCCTTGCTTTAAAATATCTACATATTTCATCTGAAATAAATTTAAAATGTGAATATTATAACTCTAAAAATAACACATGCTATAAAAATTCAAATAAAAATGATTTAACTATGTTTTTAATTGAAATTTTACCTAAATTGCCCAGTTACTTTTTTTGAAGTTATGGAATTCATGCAAAACAATTACAGAAAGAAAGTCAGAAATACAATTACCAATTTCTCTCCATACATATTATGAAGTTTTCCAAAATTCTTAATAAGTTTTTTTTGATAAGATTATTAGTGAACTATTTAAAAAAAATTAATAAATGTAAATAAAAAACACAAACAACGTAAGAAATCTTTAAAACAATTAGATGTTAAACATATTACCAAATGTGTAATATTTATTGTTTCGCTTATTGTAAGTATAGCATTTTCTTATCTTGATGTTTGGTTTACCCAAGTAATAGCTAGTATGTCTTGAAAATCACATTTTTTATCTTCGTTCTAACAGCTTTTATCTACTCTTCATATAAGTGGTCATACTGATAGTAATGAACACTGAATAGAAAAATAGCGAATTGCAAAAATTAATCCAACTGAAAGACTACTAAAAGGACCAAATATATAAAATTTGGCAGTTATCGATAATATAGATTTCAAAGATAAAACTTTTACTTACAGAAATATTTTTGATGCTACGCGTGAAAGTTCTCATACAATGCTTAGAATGGTATTTCAAATGCGAATGCCAATTTCTTTAAAAAAAAGAGTATGTGACAAGAAAAATATAACATCTTCAATAGAACTTTTTGGTATGAATGATCTGATGAAAAACACATAGGATATGTTTGATCATATAATTGATAATCTTCTGAATTTTCAAACAAATTCTCAAGGACAACTTATCTACAATACCGATTTTAATATGACAATTATTCATCAGAAAATTATCCAAAATGTAAGTCATAGTTGTTCAGCTGATACATCCAATATAGTCATATTAGAAACTGAGAAAATCCCAAATTCAGATAAAGGAATATTATAATCTACAGAAATGTATAAACAAGACTTTAATTTAAGATCAG